GCTGCTTGGCCTGCTGTGTTCATCCAGCTCTACACCTTGTTATCTCGCCAACTGTTGACTCTCTGTTTTTCAGACTACCAGTTTAAAGCGCTGAGTTGAAGCTCATTCAGAATTAGTCAGGGCTTTGTGACAAAGCCTGGTCCACGTTAGTCACAAACTGTGTCAACCACTTTATTCCGCAGTAAGTTATGTTTGAGAATGAAACCACGGAAATTTTTTTTTGATAGGAAATTATTAAATAAATGAATATTGTTTAAGAAAGGAATACAGGAGTGCTTATCCACAGACCCCTGAAGGTGGCAGGACAGGTTAATAGGGTGGTAAAGGTGACAATAGGACATTTGCCTTTACCAGTCATGGTATAGATTATAAGAGTAGGGAGGTCATGTTGGAGCCACGAGCTGGAGTACTGTGTGCAGTTCTGTTCACCACACTATAGAAAGGATGTGATTGCACTGGAGAGGGTGCAGAGGAGATTCACCAGGACATTACCTGGGATGGAGCATTTCAGTGACGGAGAGAGGCTGGATAAGCTCGGGTTGTTTTTTTTTCCCAGAGCAGACAAGGTTGAGGGGCATGGATAAGGTGAATAGAAAGCAGTTGTCCCCTTTAGTCAAGGGGTTGATAACAAAAGGGGCATAAGTTTGAAGTGAAAGGCAGGAGGTTTGGAGGAGATTTGAGGTAAAACGTTTTCACCAAGAGACTGGCAGATGTCTGGAATGCACTTAACTGGGACAGTAGCTGAGGCAGGAAACCTCACAACCTTTAAAAAGTGTCAGAACATTCAAGGCTATGTAGGGGCAAGTGGACTAGTGTGGATTTAATGTATCTTTGGCATAGAACATAGAACATAGAACATTACAACGCAGTACAGGCCCTTCGGCCCTCGATGTTGCGCCGACCTGTGAAACCAATCTGAAGCCCATCTAACCTAAACTATTCCATTATCATCCATATGTTTATCCAATGACCATTTAAATGCCCTTAAAGTTGGCGAGTCTACTACTTTTGCAGGCAGGGCATTCCACGCCCTTACTACTCTCTGAGTAAAGAACCTACCTCTGACATCTGTCCTATATCTATCACCCCTCAATTTAAAGCTATGAAGCAGTACAGACTCATTGGGCCAAAAGGCCTCTTCTATCCTGTATGATTCTAGGTTTCTGTTTACCAATCAGACTGGTCAGATCACTTGAGGTTGAGATAAACCTTTAATCTCAGGGCAGGTGTACATTCCAAGATGCAGTTGTATAAATACCTTGTGTAACTGCAGACTGAGGATAATAGATCGGGTACACAGGACAAGCGACATCAGGCAGCTCAACATGACACAGGCATCAAAGATCAGGATGTAGTGCGTGTTCTTTGAGACTGAAAGAACAAACCGACATAAGTATGTGCTGAGATTGTAGAACACCGGGATTATTATGCTCACTTCACCCTCCCCTGGGCACATTTCTGAACAATGCTGCGGATGTCGTACAAAATTTACCAGCAAGAAACTGAGTTCAAAGCACATCACAGATGCCCCACTTTGGACTAACACCCAACTTTCTCACTACCCTCCTTCAGGCATGGGGACCTACCCCTCTGCTTCCTCCTGCCCCTGGACTTCCTCCTGCCTGACTGACTTCATTCCCAATTCCTTCTTTCTGCCCTCTGAAAGGAGATTAGTCCATGGCTCAGTGGTTTGATCACTTGTTCCCTAAATCAAAAGATTGTGGGTTCAAATCCCACACCAGGTTTTGAGCTTAATACTCCAGACTGACGCTCCCAACGCAGTACACGTGACTCCGTAGCAAAAACAGGAAGGCAGATTATTATTTGAATGGCTATAAACTGAGAGAGGGGAATGTTCAACAAGACCTGGGTGTCCTTGTGCACCAGTTGCTGAAGGTAAGCTGTAGGTGCAGCAGGCAGTAAAGAACGTAAATGGTATGTTGGCCTTCATTGCAAGAGGTTTCGAGTACAGGGGCAGGAATGTGTTGTTGCGGTTATACAGGGCCTTGGTGAGACCACACCTAGAATATTGTGTGCAGTTTTGGTCTCCTTATTTGTTCTTGCTGTAGAGGGTGTGCAGTGAAGGTTTACCAGATTGATTCCTGGGATGGCAGGACCGACGTATGGAGGAGAGATTAAGTCAGTTAGGATCGTATTGCCCAGAGTTTAGAAGAATAAAGGGCCATCTATAGAAACCTATAAAACTGTAACAGGACTTGACAGGTTAGTTACAGGAAGGACGTTCATGATGGTGGGGGAGCCCAGAAGCAGGGGTCATAGTTTAAGGATAAGGGATAAATGTTTTATGGCTGAAATAAGGAGAAATGTCTTGACCCAGAGCGTGGTGAGCCTGTGGAGTTCACTACCACAGGAAGTGGTTGAGACCAAAACATTTTGTGTTTTTAAGGAGTTAGATATACCTCTAGTGGGTAAATGGATCCAGGGATATGGGGGAAGGGTGGGATTAGGGTGTTGAGCTCAATTGTCAGCCGTGATCATATTGAATGGCGGAGTAGGCTTGAGGGGCCGAATGGCCTAAACCTGCTCCTACCTTCTATGTCTCTACGTTTCTTCGACATCTGAAGTGCCATTTTTCACATGAGCCTTTACCTGGAGGCCCTGCCTGTCCTATCAGCTGCATGTCAAAGATTCCATTTTCACGAAAACCAGGGGAGTTCCTGCTGCAGAGACTGATATGTTCCCATCAATTCACATCATTGCAACAGACTATCCATCACCATTATCACACAGCCCTCACTGGGGGTTTGCTGTGCCCAAATTAGCTGCCAAGTTCCCTAAACTGCAACAGTGGCTACACTTTAAAATATGCCTCATTGTTCGGAAAGCAGTTGGGGATGTCCAATGATTGTGAAGGCACTATATAAATGCAACCACTTCAACTCAATCATTGTGTCCACTGCCAACCGGATCCTGAACCCAAACATGCACATTCAGCCAGCCCCAGTGTCACAGGAAGGTTCAATTATTCATGGTATACTGTAGGAATCTTACTCCAGTCCCAGCAACTTCTGTGGTAGGTTTTTACAATGAGAGTTTGATAATCACCCAAAGAAAAAAATGCCATGTCCTGTACAGACAGACCTTGGATTCAAATCACTTTCCAATCAACTCAAAAGAAACAGGTGAGGAGCCTACTGGTGAGAGAGAGAGAGAGAGAGAGAGAGAGAGAGAGGGGGGGAGGAGGAGACACGGGGGAGACAAAGAGAGGAGAGGCCTTAGCCTATAACCCCTTACTTGCGATCTTGCTGAGAACCTTTTTATTTTGTTATGGGACAGCAGAAACAGGAGTAGGCCATTCAGCCCATTGAGATTGTCCTATTATTTAAGGAGTTGACAAATAATCTGCATCTTCACGACCACTAACCCATTTTGGTTCAGAAACCCAGTGTCATTCCCAGTTTTGACATTTTCAATGGCATTCCTCAGCCCTGACCTTAATAGCTTTTTGCTATTTCTACTCCCTTAAAACATACTATGGAGACCACATATGGCACCACATCCACAAGCATCCACTCCCTCCACCACTGATGGTCAGTAGCAGCAGTGTGTACTATCTACAAGATGCACTGCAGAAATTCACCATAGATCCTCAGACAGCACCTTCCAAACCCACGACCACTTCCATCTAGAAGGACAAGGGCAGCAGATACATGGGAACACCACCACCTTCAATTTCCCTTCCAAGCTACTCACCATCCTGACTTGGAAATATATTGCCGTTCCTTCACTGTCACTGGGTCAAAATTCTGGAATTCTCTCCCTAATAGCATTGTGGGTCAACCATTAGGTTCAAGAAGGCAGCTCACCACCACCTTTTCAAGAGCAACTAGAGGCAGGCAATAAACACTGGGCCTAGTCAGCTACACCCAAATATCTAAACAAGAACATCATTGCTGATCTCCCGAGCTCTACTTTCCATGTCCTCACCCTCCTTGTTCTACATATCAATTTAGATCAACCTTACATCAATGGAAGGGAAATAGATCTTTCTCTATCTGTCAATCTATGACGTTTGAGGAGAGTTTGACTGGGTTAGGATTGCTTCACTGGAGTTCAGACGAATGAGGGGCGATCTCATAGAAACTTATAAAATTCTAACAGGACGGGACAGGGTAGATGCAGGGAGGATGTTCCCGATGGTGGGTGTGTCCGGGACCAGGGGTCACAGTATGAAGATTCAGGATGGAGATGAGGAGACATTTTTTCACCCAAAGAGTGGTGAGCCTGTGGAATTCATTACCACAGGAAATAGTTGATGCCAAAACATTGAATCTATTCAAGAGGTGACCAGATACAGCACTTGGGGCCAATGGGATCAAAGGCTATGGGGAGAAAGCAGGATTAGACTAATGAGTTGGACGATCAGGCATGATTGTGAAGAATGGTGGAGCAGACTCGAAGGGCTGAAGGAGCAGGAGGAGGCTATATCTTCTATGTTTCTATGTTTTCAACTCACACAACCATCTGAAACACCCTAATGAAATCACCTTTAACTCTTTATGCTGAAAGAAATACAAATCTCACTCCTGTAACCCGTCCTGATGATTTCATTATTTTAGTGCCTGGATCATCCCAATGAAGGTGCACTGCTGCCAGGGCCAACAGCACCCCCGGGTGAGGTCTATGTAAATGCGGTCCAACAAGAGCATTTTACAGCTGTAGAATAATTTACAATCTATAGAGTCCTAACCGATCCAGTCTCTCATCATATTTCAGTCTTACCATCCTAAGAACGATAACTGTCGGGCATCCTGTGGAATGTAAGAAACTGGAGGGCTAGGACATTGTTTCTCTTCGCTCTTCACCAAGACCACATCAGAAAAAAAACAGTAACATTGTGTGTGCAGAGGGAACTAGGTATCTTTGAGCATGAATCAGGAAAAGTTAGTGCAGGAACCGCTACCGATTAAGGGACAGTTAATGGAATACTATAGCCATTTTTGAAGCAGGGTCCTGACCTGAAACATCAGCTTTCCTGCTCCTCTGATGCTGCCTGGCCTGCTGTGTTCCTCCAGCTCCACACTGTGTTATCTCTGACTCCAGCATCTGCAGTTCTTGCTATCTCCTAACGGAGTACTATGCTTTGTTTCAAGAGGAATAAATCATCAAAATAAGGTTGTTCTGCTTCATTGACATAGGCTATTGGTGCAACTACACAGTCATAGAGTCATAGAGTCATACAGCATGAAAACAGATCCTTCGGTCCAACCAGTCCACGCCAAACATAATCCCAAACTAAACTAGTCCCACCTGCCTGCTCCTGGCCCATATCCCTCCAAACCTTTCCTATTCATGAACTTATCCAAACATCTTTTAAACATTATAACTGTATTTACATCCACCACTTCCTCACAAAGTTCATTCACACACGAAACACCCTCTGTGTAAAAAAAAGTTTGCCCCTCATGTCTTTTTTAAATCCCTCTCCTCTCACCTTAAATATGGGCCTTTAGACTTGAAACCCCCATCCTAAGGAAAAGGCAACTACCATTAATCCTATCGATACCCCTCATGATTTTATAAACCTCTGTAAAGTCACCTCTCAACCTCCGATGCTCCAGTGTATAAAGTCCCAGCCTATCCAGCCTCTCTTTATACCTTAAACCTTCCACACCTGGCAACATCCTGGTAAGTCTCTTTTGAACCCAAATCTTGAATGCAGCGTGCAGTTTTGGTCTCTTTATGTAAGGACGGAATTAAATGTGTCGAAGGTGGTTCAGGGGAGATTTACCAGATTGATTTGGGGAATGAGCAGATTGTCAAATGAGGAAAGGTTGGACAGACTGGGCTTGTTTCCAGTGGGATTTAGAAGACTGAAGTCTACAAGGTCCTGAAGTTTGACCAGGTGGATGTGGCAAGGACTTTTCTTCTTGTGGGTCAGTCCAGAACTAGGGGGACAATCAGGAAGCTGGAAGAACACAGCAGGCCAGGCAGCATCTGGAGGAAAGGAGCAGTCAACGTTTCGAGTATTACCCTTCCTCAGGAATGCTGTGTTCTTCCAGCCTCCTGTTTGTCTACCTTGGATTCCAGCATCTGCAGGCTTTTTTTGTCCCAGAACTAATGGCACGTTGTAACATTAAGGATTACCCTTTCAGGAAAGAGATGAGAAAAATTTCTTGCGTCTCAGTGGATTGAGAGACTCAGTAGATAGTGGAGGTGGAGTCACTGAATAATTTTAGAACAGAAGGATGGAGGGGGGATAGATGGGAATGTGGAACAAACAGATCAATCACGATCGGATTGAACGGGGTTGAGGCTCTGAATAGCCTACCGTTGCTCTCATTTGTACGTTTGTAAGATTGCTCCCATCAGCTCCACCCTCCCATATCCCTCAATTCCTTTTTGTAAGC